GGCACAAATAACCAAAAGTTATACACAAATAACTACAACCAACTGAACTAAAGTATACATGGTGCTGACGACACACGACAGGATCCGCTTGTATGTGAACGGTCACACTAGGCCGCTGCGCCCACTACTCCAGCCGGCTTGTTAACCTGACACCGTAAGTGATTAACCGACCACGACACATGTCGTGTATATATATGAAAACTTCTTCACCCAATTGCTGGTTAAACGACACCCGACAGCTGTGTAAAACAGGCCTCAGGGTTAAATTCTACACATATTAGTATTAATAATTAACCAAAGTAGTTAGGCCTGCTTTGGTTTAGGCTAATTAACGCCAAAGATTGATTGTCTAATCAAAATTTTTAGCAAATTTTCCTTCACATAAACGTTTACAATTGAACTACTGTAGCAAAGCTGGGTAGGCCCTACACAGGTGAAATGGGCTGGTCAAATTCAATTAGAATCTTAGGCCTATATTGTCATTGGTTGTTTATAGAAACTTCTAATTGTATTTTAACAAGATTATTTTAATGTCACTATCCAGAATTTTGTACGATCATCCTCTACAAAATAATCATTTAATCATGGTGGGTTTTGAACTGGAATGCTTGATTTAAAATGTGAATTGTTTTGTTGTAAATGTGCTGTGATGAAACCAATTGTTTGTGTTGTGTTTGTTTATGTGTTATTTAGTGAAAAAACTTCAAACAAAATACCGTGCTGAACCATGTGTTTTGTGAATCACTCAAGTGTTTTGGTTGCAGTGTGGTGCCGCAACATGGCCTCGTTGCTAGGTATGCACAAGTCAGGCCCACACTTCAAGAAGAGGCCGAACAGAAACCCGCTCGGCTTTAACAAGCCCTTTGCCAAAGGTGTCGTTTTAAAAACGTTGGTCAAGAAGCCCAAGAAACCGAATTCGGCTAATCGAAAGTGCGTCTTGGTGCGGCTCTCTACTGGAAAGGAAATGGTCGCTTATGTTCCCGGTATAGGACACAATCTGCAAGAACACAATGTTGTGCTAGTGAGAGTAGGGCGTCTAAAGGACGTACCGGGGGTGAAGATTAAGTGCGTCAGGGGTAAATTTGATCTTGGACATGTAATCAAACAGTCGCCAACAAAGTAAATGTATGTATATATATTGTTAGAATTGAATATATTGCATTTAGATTTATCTGGGTTTCTTTTAATATTTCCAGTAGGCCCTTTAGTCTTAATGGTTATTAGTTTCCTGGTAGGTCTAAGTAAATTTGTTAAATGAAATAAAGACATTTAACAGCTAATTTAACTGTGTTTACACAAATTTGGAAATAAAATAGCATGGTTAGCATTTGAAAGTTTTTTAGATGTTTTGTCTCAAATATTTTACAAAGAAAATCTCCCTGAATTTGGAAAAAAATCTGACAAAAGTTGTGACTACTGTACCATTATACATAATACAGGGTGGGGCAGGGAATTATCCCTACTTTTAAGATTGCACTGTGAGTAGTGGGGGTGTGCTGGAGGAATGGGGTTAGGCTCAAATGAAGCTTTTGTTTTGGGAATTTCTAAGAATATCACTTTCAGTAGTAGACTTGGCTTGTTTGAGTGAGCAATGTGCTTTTGCACTCGAGATGTATTTTTTCAAAAATCTGTCTATTGTTGCTGTGCAGCTACCGTTGGCTGCAAACTTGTTATCGGGTGGCCTGTCGCAAAGCTGTTACAATTTGGTGTGGGTGAATTACTTTCGTGTTTTTGGTGGTGTATTGCGAAGGATATTTGGAGCTCAAAGAACCGTCCGGGGTTCTGAAAACATTGACCTTGTCAGAAGATCGATTTAGCAGTCACCTCAAAGTTCTGCTTGTAAGCATGCATCCGCGCTGGCGTTTTCTAGTCATACTGTGCCTCCTATTCTCCATGGGGACCTACACCTCCATCTATACAAGAGGGTAGTTGCTCATGAACTCACACAACGGGACTGGCAACAATGAATGCAGGCATGTGAAATCTTAAGTGCGGGACTACCTCATGCTGCTCGGGTTTTGTTTAGTGACGAGGCACACTTCCATATTTCTGGAGCGGTAAATAAGCATAATGTGCTCTATTGGAGTGATGCTGAGTCTAGGGTAGTTCAAGGGAAGACCCTCGATGCCTTAAAGGATGCAATTCACCTTGAATTTTGCCGCATTCCACAACAAATGCTTCACAAAGTTATTATGAACTCCAGAACCAGAATGCAGCAATGCATTTAAGATTAGGGACACCTCTTGCAGGATATGCTATTTAAAACCAAGTTAAGTTATATTAAAATAAACTCCCAGACGTGACCTTTTAATCTCAATAAAAAGTTTGGTTCTAACATTTTTGGTTGTCTTTAAATGTACCTTCAAAATTAGGGATACTTCCCTGCCCCACCCTGTACAAGCATCATACTGTATAAAAGCATACTTTTACCTAGGCTATATAGTTTGAAGGCACCCTCATTATATCAGGAGGCCATAAATTGAACTGTGACAGTTTTGGGCCTTAGCCGCCTTTACACGAGGCCAGTGGAACAGGCAGATTACTTGCTTCTAATGTATTTCATGTTACCTGAGGCAAGTAATCTGTCGTTTCCGTCTTATTATGCAGGCCATGCTTATAGTTCACATTTTCTTTAGACATTTTCTACATTACAAGCCAACTGCCTCATCCCATTGTAACACTAAGAAGACTTTGAAGGAGAACGAATTAATCCTAAAATCGTTGCCAGGAGGGAAATGATTCCACAAATAGCACTCACTATTTAAAACCTTTTCAACAAAATAATTTTTATGTTTATTTTCATATTTTAAAAAAATCATGAGAATAGTGTGGGGAAATTGAAAAGATTGGTTTTACTTTCAATATTTATCTTACAACCATGTATCCATCTTTAATACATTATTTTTAATTAAATGTAATAGAAAGAACATTCATGCTGTACAATAATCCGACAGTACTAGTATGTTTTACAAATCTATGCACCCTCCCTAAAAAAAAAAAAAAAAAACTAAACAAAACAATTGTAGTTATATTTTTATTTTATATCCTCCACTAAAATACAGATCCATTATGTTTTTTTTTTAGGCAGGTTGCCTTATGCTTTACTTATTAAGTTTGGAATAAAAAATTGAAACCAACAGGTTGCAACATGCAAAAACCAAAAAGGCATTGACAGTTATCTAGATTTAACGCCTTTATTATTTAGGCCTACTTGTACCCAGTGCTCGATTTGTAAAAAATGAGGTGCCAGTACTGTTACCTATTTAATGTGATTAGAACCTGTTTATGCCAATATTTTTATCTTTCTGAAAGAGAGGTACTGGAACTACGTTCCACCACACTACCCCCCAAAAATCGAGCACTGCTTGTACCTAATATTCCAGCATATGTTTTGACAAAATTTGTTAGTGTCTAATTTCTTTTGTTAACTCTGTATTTGTACATTTGATTCTTGAGAGTACTTTCTTCAATAAGTCCCCTTTTTTGTTTCCTTAATCTCAAGGTAATAAAAATATATATAATTTACTAGGCTCACATGTAATATGAATAAACATTTGTCATGTCGTATTTCTTGTGAGGCTCCTCAACCTTACAAAGAAATTATCAATATTTGTAAGACAACAATTAAATTAACCATATTTTGAGCCAAATAAAAGAATGTTTTAAAAGTACACAATCAACACAACACACACATTAACGTTAACTATAGGCTACTCTTCTAAAAATGTGCTTAAAATTCCTAGAATTTACTTCCAGAGCATCAATTGCAGAAAGTAATAGTTTTCACTTAGTATATTGTACACAATAATTAGTACTTACTGAATTATAGATGAAAAGTATGCATAATCTATTATTTGTTCCTTTAATAATTCATCAACAACATAGTATATAAAATTTAATTTGAAATTTTGCAATTTAAAAACAATACCATAATTTGTCCCAAAAATAGTATCACACATTTAATTACTCAGTGCTACTGTAGTGTACATACGCAGATCAATGAAACAGCTGATTACAAAGATTGTGTATAGTTGCTGAGAACCCATTGTTGTCACTGCTTAGAGTGGCGGAGATTTTTTTTAAAAACAGGAACAATGACAACTTTGCAAAGATAGATTTAGTGTGCTGCGGTTTTCTAAGTTTGATTCTATGATTGCCGTGCAACAGTATTTGGAAGTCTCTCACGCTTTTCCTTAAGTTTGTGTAATGCTGCACCACTTAACCTAACCTTTTTCACTCATTATTATTATTTTCTTCATGCATAATTACGAAATTAAAATGATTAAAAAAGTAAAACAACCAATTTTTAGCGGTTCGAAAAAAGTTAGTTTTTCAACATAAATAAAATAAATAGGGCCTGTTATTAATACATTTTACATGGGAGGAAGTGAAATTTAATTTGAACCTCTACAGGGCGATTCGTGATGCTCATGTTGAACTCTATTGAGCCCAAACCAAACTGTTTTTTTCTGCTGCCCATATGTAACCCTTTTTTATCTATTGGAATTAGTTTTGTCAAATATAAATGCTTAAAAGTGTAGCATTACTTTTGGTGTACACAGTACGGTATGTTATTTTTAAGGATGTATTTGTTGTAAACGAAGAAGTTAAAAATACTTGAATTCATCAGACCTTATGAGTAAGAGTTTTTTAATTCTTGTAAACCCAGTGGTTTGAACAAATAGGTAGTGTTTTTTCACATACATCTAAATATATCAAAATCCAAGCCCACACTGACTGACTCACTAATTCTGTAAGTTAACGACTAGCTAGAATGCTATAATTTAGTATGGTCAAAGGATAAAAATAGGAAAGTTAAATAGTTTTAAAAAGTATCTGGACTATCCAAAAGTTGTGTTCTTGAAATCAATTATTACTTAAAGCAAAGTATACCACGCCAAAACCATTTGTCATATTGACCAAAAATTTCACAATAAATACACTTGAACAAACTTTTTTTCAAGAAAGTAAATCTACATGATCCTACTTCTAGCACAATAATGGCTGACTTAAGACTAAAGAAACTGGGAGTTGGAAGAAGACTTTCGAATGACCCTCTCTTTGCAGAAGGGGACAGAGTGTGCCGCATGTTTCTACGTGAAGGCATCATCGATATTGACGATGAACAGCTGTGCCACCAAGTGTAAGTGCTTTGCATATTTGAAATTTATCTTGTCAACATTCAGTGAGCAAAGGCTGAAGCTTTAAAAAATGATTAGTGTGAAAAACTATCAATATGTAAAAGTGTGAAGAGCAAGATTGGAACGAGAATAGCTTCATAAACTTGAGAGAATGTTTCCAAGTTTTTGTCTTTTTCTGAAGGTATAGTTTCCATGGGGTGTGAAGGTTTCTTGTGTTTGAAGGAAGTAAATTGGTTGAAATTATTCTAGAGAGATATTTAGTTCAGAATTGTGTTTTTACACGTAAATTTCTTGTTCAAAGTTTTATTGCGGACATTTTCCATCACAATGGAAAAAACAATACACAACCTTTGAACAACATTAACTAACCATCACCAACCATGAACTTCAAACAAAGAAAAAATTTCTTATTGTCAATGAGAAAAAAAATCAACAACTATATTACTGTATTGCAAACTTAGTAAAAGATTCTGTCTGATAGTAATGGTTCAAGCCATACAGTTATAATAATTATCAGTTTTATTGTTGTGTGGTTACAATGTACGATTTTCATACTTATTTTTACAGAAAACAGTGCTTTGGGTACTGTAAGAAATAGTTATTTTTAGTTAGTATGCCTACTCTATAGACATTTTTGAGATAACTCCAACGTTCAGTTGTAAATTTTAACCGAACAACTGTAACTAATTAACTAACTAACTGTTGTTAATAGAACTTACACTTTTGTCTCCAGTGTGGCTGTGTTCCCATGTGACGTCCCAGGATGTAAGGAAACCTTTGCTTCTCTGATGGAGTTTGATATGCATTACAACTCGCGGCATCGCTACGCTTGCAGAGAGTGTAACAAACACTTACCCACCGGCCACTTGCTGGACCTACACATATCAGAAACACACGACTCGTTCTTCGCTGCTCAAGCGGAAAGAAAACCAATGGTAGGTACAAAAACCAATAAAATTGTATTTATTTTGTAAATTTTCACGAGTGTAAGTAAGTTAGGATATTAGGGTATACCATTTTTGAATTATATGTGTGCTAACAATAAGTTCTTAACGGTTTGAAGAATCCTTAGAGAAGAGACCTTTTTTTTCTAACGGGCCTCAGATCTGATGAAGATGTCCAGTGGTAGCAGCCCAAGAGCGACTTCTAGAGTAGCTGATGGACTGCTCATGAAGGCTCCAGTGGCCTGTAGCGTGCCGAGCCTTTGCATGCTTTCTAGCTTGGCTATGACAGTTACCTGATTCACCTTTGTCCACCAGACTAGTGAACCATAGGTAATCTGAGGCCTGACCACAGCCTCGTATAGCCAGAGTGCTATGTGGGGTTTAATTCCCCAGGTCCTCCTGGACGTCATGAGCGCCCATTTGGCCTTATGCAGCGCGTTATTCAGGTGGTTGTTTCACGTCCGCTTTTAGTCAAGTGTCAGTCCTTAATACTTGACTGCACTCGACACTCCCAGCTGAGTAGTGCCAATTTTCAGCCTGGAAAGAGAATCCAGGTTCTTTTTCCTGGTGAAAGGAACTACGACTGTCTTAGAAGGATTAATGTTGAGTCCTTCTCTGAGACACCATTGTTTAACACATTGTAGGTTGCCGTTCATGACGTCAGCTACAATTTTTGTGAATTTTCCTTGTACCATGAGGACTATGTCATCTGCATAGCCCTGGACAAAGATGCCCTTGCTGGTGAGTTCAGTTAAAAGACCGTCCACCACAAGGTTCCACAGTAAGAGTGAAAGTACACCTCCCTGTGGAGATCCTTTTGTGGGTGCGATCACATTTTTTTCACCAAGAAAGTCGGCTACGGTGCGTCTTGAGTTAAGCATAGACTCTGTCCATCTACACAGAGATTGCTCGAGTCCATGCTCACAAACTCCCCGCACCATTGCTCCGTATGTTACATTGTCGGAAGCTCCTTCAATGTCCATGAAGGTGCATAGGGCTATTTCCTTAGCAGCCAGGCTGTCCTCAATTCTGCTGACCAACTCGTGCAGAGCGGTTTCACAGGACTTGCCTGGCTGGTAGGCGTGTTGATTGCGATGAAGAGGTGTGTTGAGAAGTACACCCTTTCTTATGTGCCTCTCCACCAGCCTTTCCAAGGTCTTGTGGAGAAATTAGGAAAGACTGATAGGACGGAATGATTTAGCATCAGAGTAGTCTGCTTTTCCTCTTTTGGGAATGAAGACCACCCTGCTGAGACGCCAGGCCTGAGGGATATACCCGTAGGCCAAGCTCGCTCGGAAGAGTTCACATAGGAGGAGCTTGAGGGCATCCCGTCCTTGCTGTAGCATGGCTGGATAGATGCCATCTCCCCCGGGAGACTTAAATGGACCAAACTTATTGATTGCCCATTTAACTTTAGAGAGAGTGACAACCCTTCTGGCTGTATTCCAGCTTTCACGATCAGTTCTCGGCCAAGAACTTGTATTCGTGCAACCGGACACTCCTGTGTCGTCACTCTCAAAAATGCAACCAGGGAAGTGAGTCTCAAGGAGAAGTTTGAGACTTCCTCCAACCCCAGTGGAATATTGCCCTCCTGGTACCTTAAGAGATCCCAAGAGGAGGTTCGGTTTCTTCATCTTAAGACGACTAAGTTGCTCAGTGGCGTCATTAAGTGTCTCTGTGGAATTTGGTGGTTTAGGACTGCTTAAAAGCTCCTCTTCTCTTTCCAGTGTAGCTGGTGTGAGCGGGGATTCGTCCATAGTGGAAGTTCCTGGTTTTGAGAGCGTTAGAGCCTCCTGTGCTCTTGGTGCACTCGTTTCAAGAGCGGGGTCTTGCTCTGAGTGAGCTGACCCCTTAGGTGTGGGCGGTGCAACTTCTAGAGTTGCTCCGAGGTTTGGTTCTGGTTGAATTTTTTTATTTGTATCCATGGTGTTCCCACGAGAAGCAAGGGATATTGGAGGTCGAGTCCAGACAGAGCCCCGCATGTGCAGGTAAGGCTAATTACTCCAGGAGGTCGACCGGTGTCCTGGAGGCTCTGTACGCACCACCGCTGGGGAGCCCGGTGGCATTCACCTCTTCGGCACGGGTCGCATGACACCACTGAGGTTGGCTGAAACAAGAAGCAAAAGCGAAAGGAAAAGGAGAAGGGAAGAAGATTCTTCAATAGGAAAGCGAAGAAGAAAGAAGGGCCAGCAAAAAGAGGAAGTTAGCTGGCCATAGAACCCAGAACGGAAGAGGAGAGATCTGGGGGTTGGCTAGGGTACCTCGGGGTTGCCAGCCTACCAGAGGCCTCCCGTGTAGTTGACAGACAATGTGTCAGATTGCTGATACTGTTTATTTATTTTTCAGTACCAATGTTTTGTGGAAGAGTGCTCTGTTGTCTCCCAGGATGATGTTCAAAGAAGAAAGCACTGCATCGAAGTCCATAGCTTTCCTCCCGATTTCCGATTTGATCAGTCACGCAAGTAAGTGATTTTAGTATCTGTAAATGGCTAAGTAAATTGATTGATTTTAGATGCTGCAAGTAGACTTATCATCCTTTTTCCTAAAGTGACCCGACAAAGTGGGCTTCCTTGCACAGACTTTAGTACAGAAAGCCTTACTTTGGCACACACCAGTATTCCAACCAAACAACTCAAAACAGCGTGCTTTTATTTATGCACGTAATCTGTGTACGCTTGAAAATAAGCTGGCAGCACTTGAAGATATTACAACTACGATTAGCTGGTGCAGCGTTTCCCATTTTGTTCAATATTTTGATTCAACCTAACCCAAAAACAAGTTATGTAAGTGTTTGAAAGACTAATTTATATGATTTATAGTAACTGTAGGAAAAATATCATGTGTAACACGAGTCCGCCCACTAGTTACACAAATAACTATTGTACAACCCTAAGTCTTGTTGAGGTGTGGTTCATGTCGAGTCGACTTGAAATTTTCATTTTGTGATGTTGGCAATGTACTAAATTTACACCAGTCAAAGTCGTATCATGTCTAAATCGTTTATTTTTAAGAGAAATTTCATTCAAGGATAGTTCTATAATGCTTGTTTGTGTTTTTCTTTCAGAAAAGGAAACAAGAAAAACACCAATAAGAACAAAACGAGTGAACCTTGTGAGGAAGCCATGATGGTAGACGAAACCCAGGAAAAGAAACCTCAAAAAGGTAAACCAATAACGTTTGGTAGGGGAAAACAAGGGAAAATGTTTGTGAAACCTTGGCATGCAAAAGGGAAGGAACAGAAGACGACACCAAACGACAAAACTGAACAGAGTGAAATTTCTACATGTGAACTCATGGAAGCATTGCCATCTTAACGTGATAACAATCTTTGTTGGGAGAGTTAGTTTTTAAAGAGACTTAAATTATTTACTGGATCTATCAGTAAAAGTGTAGGTAGTAACTTTTTTCACGATTAGAGATAGGATTCAAGTATTTTTTAGGTAGAGCAAAATGGTATTTCGGAATCCAAGTTGTCCAGGAGATTTTCTTCTTATTTATGAATATTTATTATGAGAATGAATGTAACTTTTAATGCCAAGAAAATTAAAAATCTTAGGGTATTGATGACGACAATGTAATGTACTAAAATTGTTAGTGTTATTTAATAGTTTTAAGGACTAAATGTAAAATGTTTCTGTGTTAATGTATTATTTTCTGAGCTTGTTTAAATGCTTTAGATGACTAGACATAGTACAGGTAAAACTTTCCCAAGAAAAAAAAAAGTTAGTCCGTTCATGAAACTTGCAGGAAACATAGTACTTACCATTAGGTTTTGAAATCTGAAGAGTCCCTAGTCATTGTGGGGGTGGAAGTACAATTTTATAGGGGTTAAAGTTTGTGGGGGTAGTAATTTTGAATATATTTTTATTTATAGGATCCAAACAAGTGGGGTGTCATTTTCTATGTTTCTTAGGATGCAGAATCGAAAACAAGCATAACAAAATCAATACAACCGACAGTTTATGAGAAAAAGACAAATTTATTCATGAAAAAATATGACAAACTCATTAAGGGGAGCCAGGCCGATTTTTTTTTTATTTACACAAATTTTGTTTTCTGCTGATTTTTATTCTCCTTTTAATTCCCTTGCAAATGACATAACATTCATATGTTATTCAGATGTAAGCCTTTTGAAATAAATAAAACAAAACATCGCGACAGCTAGTTTTCATTCCACGTAACTTCAAAAGTGTAGGTAGTATACTCATGACATTTAAAAAAGTAAATTACGAGGAAAAGGTACAAAGCTGTTGAAAGTATCAAGAAGTAGGCTAGAGAAGCTAGAAGAAAAAGAATGCTCATGCAGAAAGTCGATGAAGAGGCACTATTATGATCCTCAATATAGAAAGGCCTATTTTATGATGAATATAGCTTGCGGCAGGTGCTACAGGTCTGTACCCTGTTTTCACCTCGTTTTCCGAAAGTTCAACTTATTATAACAAAGGTACACGTATCTCTGGAACTAAATGACCTAGAGACTTGAAATTTTTTATACATAATTGTTGTGTTATAAGTAACATTTAGACCCATTTTTATTACTGTCACATTGCTAGTTTTGAAGAAGAAAAATTAATGTCTCGTAAAATTTGTAAACATTTTTGTGTCTTACAAAAATTTTATTTCAATGTAACACTTAATTGAAAAATTCTGAAATTGGGTCTGTTTACACATAAAGGGCTGATAATTATAGTCTACAATTTTGAAAGCCATAACTTTACACCTTTTGAAGAAAAGTGTACCTAAAAATGGCAAATTTAACATTGGCGAGATAGGCCTTTCCCGCTCCCCAAGGTAAAATAATGCAGTTAATATCAATTACTATTTCACTCACTGATCAGGTATACAAATGTTTGGGCACTTCTAGACGGGGTAGGGAGTTGAAATTTGTCACACTTTTTGGTCTTGGGCCCAAAGCCCCGGGGGATTCCAAAAGGTCGCATTTTCAAATTTTAACCCCCTCTGAATTTCAAATTCCCACCCAATGTTATTCTTATGGTGATTAGCATTTAAAGTTACCGACTTTGGTATATCCATCTAGAAACGTGCTAGAGACCTGAAATTTAGCAACATTGTAAAACGTGATTTTAAATCAAAGTAAAACATTAAAAAAGTCACATTTTCAAATTTCAATCCCTAAAAATCCAAAATGGCGGTCACCTAAAAACCACAAAACCCTTTTTTCAAACGGTTAAAGCTTGAAAACGGCAAGAGCTAGAAATGTTTTGAAAGAATTTTCATGGGCAGAAATTAAATTTTCTACAAAATATTTTTGAGCTATTTTCAAAAATCCCATACCTTCAACTTTAAAAAAATTACCTACTTTAAAAATTTGGTAAATTTCTTTCAATTGTTTTACGGGTTTCGCTATTTTTTCATACATAAGTCTTTTTTTTTAGTAAATACTATTACTGCTTTGTATTCTCCTGTATTTTAAATTTCACACCCATTACATGTTTTCACAATTTTTTTTTTTTTTTAGTGGGTTATCCTGCATTCTGTTTTTGTAGAGTTATTGGTAACGGAGAAAATTAAAAAAAAACAGTAAATTTAAAATTCCCATGTTATTCTTATGGAGTATAATGTTAAATGTTGTAGCTTATTTGTTTATGGATATATTTTGATAAAACTTGGCAAATTTATAATATACTAAGCTATAATATTTTACAAAAAATACACTTTATTAGTTTCCTTGTAGCAGCAAACCTAGGTACTAATTAAACCTAATGTTTTTTAAATAGATTTAATAAAAAATCAATTCAGATGTATAGAAATTCGCTTAGTCGGCAGGTTTGCTGCGGCGGGGGCATTTCTCATAAAATGTCGGTTGTATTGACTTTATTAAGATTTTTTTCAATTCTACATCCTAAGAAGCATAGAAAATGACACACTACTTGTTTGGATACCATCAGAGGTGCCCATCCCCCCCAAACCCAGAGGCGCAATACCCCCCCCCCCAAGCCAAAGGAGTAGTCCCCCCCCAATTTATGCTGCCGTCTATTTAAACCTACCGTCCCCTCACCAATTTATCTGACAATTTTCCCTTTACCTCATAAAACAAGCATTTAAAGTATTTAGTAAACTTGAGCAGGTACGAAAAACAAACTTGCTGATAATCAAAATTAAATGTTTAATATGAAACGTCATTTAACAATACATCAATATAAATCTAACTAATGGACGAATTAGAAGTTTATTTTCAATTTACAATTCAGAATCTGTATTGTCAGCCAATATGTGTGCTCAGTATTGTTATAGACAACGTCTTCAAAACGTAAAACAATGTAGGCCTACTCAGTGAATTACTCTACATGTACTTCAACACAGTACTGTAACTGTACAATATATTAGGTGGCGTTAATTTTTACAGGGCTTAAGAATTCAAACAGCTTTAAGTGCATTAATAATACTTTGGCAAAAAGTATATTATTGTTTCACAATTATAGGCAGAGTCACGAAATAAGACAGACTTGTTGCTCGCCACTCCCAGGCTGCCTTCTACAAAAATCGCCGGGCAAAATACCCACAATATCTCTTAATAATTGCCACCAGTACAAAAGGTTTTTGTGACGAAGTAATCTTATAATTCATTTTGATAGCCCCAGGATTGCCTGTTATGACTAATAATGGTAGAAACGCATCTTGTCAGACAATCCGTTTGTACACAAAACACGAAACGATAGCAGATAGGCCTATCAATTCACGCGTGTATATATATATTGCCGCCGGCAGGACTGGAAGTAAACTGAATCAGGTAATGACGGAAAGACGTGGTCTCTGGATTGGTGTTTGTGTTATCAAAAGCTGAAATTGGACTAATTCTAGTGACGGAGGAGAGTGTTGAAAATATAATGGGATTTATGGATTTTTCCATTCAAAATTATTGACAATAATAACCAATTTATATGCTGGATGGTCTTGACATTCTACATTACTGCAGAAAAGGAAATTTATTAAATACTTTGAGGAGTTTGAAATATACATAAAACTATTGACAGCACAAAATTGTTTAGTGAAAACACACTCAATTAATTTTGAATCCCATTATATTTTCAATACTCTTCTCAGTCACTACAATAGTCCAATATCAGCTGTTGAAAACGCAGATGACAATTCAGAGACCACGTCGGTCCGTCATAACCTGAACCTGATTCAGTTTACTTTACTTACTTCTACTTCCAGTCCTGCCGACGGCAATGTACGAATAGACAGGCCTATCTGTAATCGTTTCGTGTTTTGTATTAAATGTTTGTCTTATTCTGACAATACCTCCAGAAGTGGATCTTTTTTAAATCCTGACGATGGTGGAGTTAAAGAACCACCAAAACATATGTAGCAAGTAAAATTTGACAATGGTATATAAAGGATTGCCTGGCAAGGTCCGTTTTTACCATTCTTAGAAGCTATCACGAAGCTATTACGAACAGCAAAATGTTGTTGGTGGTGATAGTGAGCTAACTTAGAAACACTTTTTCGGGCTGCTTATACAAAATTATACATTCATTATGACAGCTAGCAAAAAAATATCCCCCCCCCTCTGGGCACCCCTGGATACCATAAATAAAAATGTTCCCAAAAATCACTACCCCCAATTTTTAACCCCCCTAAAATGGTACTTCCACCCCCCCGCGCCAATCACTAGGGACTCATCAGATTTCAAAAACTAATGGTAAGTACTATGTTTCCTGCAAGTTTCATGAACAGACTAATTTTTATGTTTTCTACTAGTCTTTTGGTAGAATTTAACCTGTACTAACAATGTATATGCTTAAATTGTTAGTGTTTTTTAATAGTTTTAAAGATTACACCTTAAATATTTCTGGATTATTTTAATACTTTTTGAGCCTGTTTGAATGCTATTATGACTAGAACATGTTATGTGCTAATATTAAAAAAATGTTACAGTGTTTTAAGGATTAAAATGTTCTCTGTTAATTGAATACTTTCTGAGCATGTTTTTAGCGTTACACAAAAAATGCAATTAGATTGATTCATGTCCTATACATTTTACTAACTTAACACGTTTGCTACTGCAATAGTACGAAATTTTCCATTCACATGGACCAGCGACTCACATATGCGACGGCCGATTTCCACTCATAGACTGTCGTCGCATATATATGCTCTGTGTCTGAACTGCCCCAGCCGCAACAAACCTGCAGACTAAGGGAATAACAATTCACTGATTGGATTGTTATTAAAACATTTCTATAAACAAGACATATTTATTCCTCATAATAACGATTTAAGGAGTAATTAGATTTGCGGCCACAGGGAAGGTAAAAACAAAAGGTGTTTTTGAAATGTTGATAGTGTAGGATGAAACAAAAAAAACTCCAAATTTAATCAAAATACATCAATAAACAAGCGACCTATTTATAGGCTAGCAGTTTTCTTTTTACTCGTGAAAAATAACATGGGAATCTAAAATGTACAGTGTTTTGGATTTTTTACGTAACCTACAACAACACAATATACAATTCTAAGCTCTAAAAGATGGCTGTTATGAAAATTGAGCATTTCCATGTTTTAAGAGTAAAGATATTGAAAAACCAACAATGGAAATTTTGTAATCCCCAGAAGACACTGTTCCCATTACCCGATCTAGCTGGTTCGCAATCTCATTCAAATTTAT